GAGAGAGAGTTTTGCTATTGAATTTTGCTCTTATTTCTACAAGACGATTTGAAAAATCCCACTGTTGACATACGCGTTTCTTCAATAAGTCGTAACAGAGCCCGAGATCTACGCGATTCCGTGACAATTTGTAGGGACGTGCAATATAAATTTAAATTGTGAAAATATTTTTATCGAAGAGTTGTATCCCGAGAAAATTTAACCGGAAGAGTAGAATACCGAGCATGTTTAAAACTAACGAAAGAATAAGGGCGCAGTTACGATGTTACATTGTGGTGGATTGAATTGATCTTTTAGAGCACGCGGTGATAGACTAAATAAGAGATCGCAGGTGATAATATTGAAGAAAAGGTCTCTTTAGTCGTTTAGAACCTTGCGTTTTCGTTCGCGTAAACTTGTAGAGAGGTGTATCGTTTCCAATGAAGATAATGTCTTCGAATTGCAGGGGCTCCGGCGACAAAAGGGCGGCCCACGTCAAGAGGCCCATGAACGCGTTTATGGTGTGGGCCCAGGCTGCGAGGCGAAAACTGGCCGATCAGTACCCTCAGCTTCACAACGCCGAGTTGTCGAAAACACTGGGAAAGTTATGGCGGTGAGTGGTCGCGCGTTCTTTGTGCTTGCGTCAATATTTTGAGCCGCCAGGCGGAACGGTAGCGGTAAATCACTGTCAACGTGACAAATCCCACGAAAGACACGGCGGTTTAATTATTCTGGACTCTAGCGCAAACTTCTTAGGGTTCGGTTTCACCATCGTCGCTTAACTGGCTGTGAGCTTAACTGTAAGCTCAGCTTAATTCATTCTTTGTCTCTTTCTGTTACTTTAGTAAATGACAAACGTGAATTAAGATTAAAGTTAAGCGACGTTTGGTGAAACCGGGCCTAAGATGTACAATCTTCGCTAAAATCTATATACTTGAGAATAAAAATATTCGACTTAAACTCCGCCGTTGTATATTTTTTAAATTATTTGATCATGATAAAGGTAACTTTGACGTTTTACTGCTCCTGTTTTCCGTTGTCTTTGTTAGAGTTACTTAGCTCGAAAACTAATAAAGTACGATCTTTACTTCAATCTAATATAAATGTTCGTCCTAGTTTTTTCCGTCGTTCGGCTTGATTTTATTTTAACCGTACAGACGTCGCGCAGTTGAGGATTCAACGTAAATGCGCACTCGAACGTTCGAGTCGACGAATAAGGTTTCAGCGGCCTCCCAGCCCGGCAGAAAGACACTGTTTCGATAAAATTAATCGGCACCACGTGTCTTCAATCGGATGCTCTCCGCGTTCTCCTGATCTGATAAGCCCGATTCTCTCACAGATGCGAGCTCGCCAGGCGGCGGCCAGCCATGCGAGGGAATCGCGCGCGCTGATCTTCGCTCGCCTCGTTCGAAGAAAATCGGATCGCGAGCCGAAAGCACGGAAACGCACTGCTGAACGTTTCAGCTGCTGTTTATTCGAAGCCACCTGTGCGTTTATCACTGATTCAACCGTTTTGAGCTCGCGCGCCCGAATTCGCGCGAAGGAGCGAGATAAAACTCTGCCGACAGGTGACGAGTAATTTAATTATATCAATATGGATTTGCAAAATGTAACGAGAAACTGTTCTATTGAATACTTGGGGCATTTTTCCCTTTTTACGTATCTCTAGTAAATGTACAGGGATTCCAGTGCAGATTATATTTGCCTTATTTCTACCGTGGCTTCACAGAAAGAGCTTTCATTCTCTCTTTCACTCGCGCTTGTCAAAATGTATAAATCGTTGTCGAAAGAAAAAACAAAGATAATGCTCTAACTGTTTTGAAATCGTGTTCGATTTCACTTGCGCAAGGCACTGCGCGTGCGATCTCGATCAAAATCGCTGGGCCGGAAAGAGCTAATATCGTCCAATGAGGATTGCGCGACGAAAGTTCAGAGTCACTGTGTTCCAATTCCCGCGACCACTTGTTCGTACGTAACCCGTTCTATTTTTACCAGCGAATTCGCGAATGCTTCTTTTTTTTTTACTTTTGGGAGTCAGCGGCACGTATATATATATGTGTGTATTAAACACACCACGTGGCGCCTAGGCTACACGTGGTACAAGTGTTCCTGCTTCTCGAGACCCGTGAACTCGGGTCGCACATGTAACAGCGGAGAACACACTTCGCGTGACGTCTCTCGGCGGCCCTCTCTTTATAACCAGACACAATTCCCCTTAACGCCCGCTCACTCGTTGTGGCAATTTCTCACGTCGCTCTTGAAAAAAATATGTATTTCGTCTTTTAAAAATAGATTTAAATTCCCTTTCCTGATTTAGTTATAGGGAAAGGCATTTAAATCTATTACAGAAATCGAGAGAGTGATATATGTTGCAGAAAACCTACTGATTTCTTTTCGAAATAGATTTAAATGCCCCTTCCCTATCGCATACGTAAGGAAAAGGTAGAAATCGAGAGGACGAGGTGTATTATACGCCAGGTAAATAAAACGTACGCGATTGCTGATACGTCCTGTAGACGCGGGCTCCGGGATGACTCGTGGACGATTCCGTTTCCTGGTTGGGACTAACGAGGTGCCCCAGTGGGCCATATAAACGATCATCAGAGGACGCGCCGACAAGGACCCCCGTCGCGAATCATTTAATAGCACCGGCCGCGATCGCGATCGCTCGCCAAAGATCGACGATCGATATCCCCGGCGATTGTCACGGCGGAGCTTTCGCCGAAAGATAAGACGCCGCCTGGCATTAAGGATCAATCGATTTTTTTCCTAACGCCGTATCGGGGCTCATTAGCGATCTATTGGTCTGTAACGCGCGTCGATTGAATCAAGTGACGTTCACCATTCGTGAACGCGAGCCGTTATCCACCTAGGTGGTGTACGACTAGGCCTCGCATGGCGGAGAAGGAGCGTACGAAGGACGGAATTGAAAGTTCGGATACCAAAGTCGGTGTGACGCCGGTTCGTACAATTCGAGAGAAACAAAAGTCGTCCTTGAGACGTTACGTTGACCTACGGTTTTCGGCTCTTAAAAAGTCATTATTTAGCACCTTTTTGGTATGGACCTAGTGGCACTTAACACGTTCCCGTCCGAACGCGAGGTGTATTCTCGTGACTGTGCCAAGGCCCCGTAATGCGCGCGAATGAACCAGCCAAATCGTCTTCGAGCGATCTCGCGTCGCGCGTGAAGAACCGAATTTTGCGCGTTCGATCGTCGATTCAGAGACGTCGCGGTGCGCCACTCTGACATTTTGATTCACCTTCGCGCAGGAACAAACGATACAGTCATCTTCGGTAATGAACACAGTGCTAGAGCGTACGCGCTACGCGGCCGGAGTCGCTTGCCGACCGATGGGACCGATAAAACGGCGAAGCTCGACGAAGATCGTGCTTGCGGGGATCAATGTATGAGCAGATCGCAACATCGATGTTGCGCGGTCGTTCACGAAATGACAAGTGGATAAAGGAGATATCGTTACACTTGAATTATAATGATGTTTGCGAGCTTATGTGCATACAAAAGGTAAATGGCACGTGCGAATAATGAAGATGTAAAAATGTAGAGAGACGTGAAATCGAAAAGATACGTGTGAGCCAGAGAGACCGGAGCGAAATAGTGGCGGTGTAACTCGCAAAATTTTACAATTCGCGCAAATAACGACGAGGGTCTGCGGTATAAAACGATAAAGACTCTCGCGCCCCATTGGCGCAAGAATTTCCATCGCAACTGCGTCAGTCGCGGACTTCGACGCCGACTTGTCTCACGTCAATCCTGATAAGAGGGCCAGGTGCCTGGAAATAAATCTTTTTCTCGCAAGTCCTCCTCCCTCTTTCGAGTCGTCTCGAAACGTATCGCCATTCGGATGGCTCCAAACGCGATGTGTTTGTCGACAAAAGGAAAACAGATATCCCCCCGGTTCATCCTTGGCGCGTGCTCGCAGCTGCCGGCCGGTTCCTGTCGGCGATAAAGGGGGCCCCCCGGGACCACAATAGGCGCCTTGTGTCCCCCCGTCAGGTGAATTTTTCCGAACCCGCCCCTCCGCACCCCGGGCACGCCTGCAAATAGCGCGTGACGAGACAGGTAAATCCGCCTTATCTTCCGGAAGGAACGATTCCTCCACTTCCCCCGAGCGCGATAGCTATTATTTTCTCCTCTCGCGGTAGCCGCTGTCGATTCGAAGCGAGAGCGCGAATCGCTTCTTGATGTTTATAATTACACATCGCTGTTTCAAGTACTTTTCACATTCACGGAAACCAAGTGTCTCCGGCTTTTTATCAAATTGCGGTCGCAATTTTTTAATATTCAACATTGCACGTCGAGCGATTATCGTCGCTTTGGTAGCTGGCTCAAGGAACGCTTCGAGAAAGTCGGACAATTTCGCGATTTGTTGACGGTTGCTAGGAATGACAAGCGTGATAATTCAATTAGAATCCCGCGATGAGGATTCATCGAGATTGAGCTCGCGCGACCTTCGGCCGTGTGAATTTCTCTCCTCCTCCTCCTCCTCCTTGACGGGGTAACATCTGATGCGTACGTACAAATAACCTCGCGGAGATACTGGCGAGAGGCAGATCTAAATTGGCTGACCCTGCGCTGCATCTGGCGAAGAAAAAGAGAGGCTGCGACGGCTCGCTATCGTCGGCACCCACTGGCCGAAAAAAAAGCTCGTGGCAAGTCCATTGACCAGATGGATTTTCTCTCTCCGTTCGTCGCTCTTTCTCCCTCCTTCTTTCCGTCGGTGACAAAACACCGCTGGTTGAGCTTGAGATATACGTGCCTTCAACCCGCGTGTCAACCCGCTCGAGAGCTTGGCTCCCGTCGTGGGATTTAAATCCCGAGCTTGCGAATACTCCAGATGACGTATCACCGGCTTCCTCAAACGATTCCCATGACAGCTTCTATTCTGTTTTGTACTTTGCACTTTGTGTCGTTATTTAAACAACTGCATCAGCAATTAAACCAAGACGTCCGAAAAGGATGAATGCGAAAGAGATATCAAGCTCGGAAGAAGCTGGCATCGACGACCTGAATCGGAGATTATCTTGTGCAGGAGAGAAAGCGCGACGAGAACCTGGGGTCATCCCGCGTCTTGCAGGACGAGTTTATTATTAATGCAGGACATTTAAAGAGAAATGCGAATCGCTGAGGCGGCACGAACGGTCGGCTGGCGTGGCACGACGGTAATCCTCGAAATCTCTCGGACACCTCCTCTGTTACACCGGAAAACCTTATCGGCCGTGAGGTTTACGGCTCAGTGGGAATATAAACACAAGGAGCATTTAAGGACCGTAATCGTGCGCACCGCGCCCGTCGTGCCGCTCTGCGAGGCGGACCAAAGTTGTGCGCGCCTTCGAGCGTCTCAACGCGCCCAGAAACACTAACCAGACCCCCCATTTCGACTCTTCGAGAGTATATATCAGACGCCGATGGAAACGCTCTCGTTCCGAGGCTCTTCTGGTGCCGGGTAGCAAGATGAGACGCCCGGCGCGAGGAGAGACGGCCGCTCGCTGGTGTATACGCGCAATGCGGGTGCGAGAGACATGAATCACGTCGAGCCGACGACAGATTTCACGGCCGAGTTTGAGACTCGTTCCCTGACGTGGGTCTCAATGTGATAACAATTCGGAAATTTCATGCGACGCGGAAAACTGTGGGACATTCAAGCGGTAGCTTAAGGGATGCCGCGTAGCTCGTACAATATGTATGAAAATTACGGCCTAGTCCGGTGTAATTTAAATTTCGCACGGCTGATTGTGCACAGGCTCCTGTCCGACAACGACAAGAAACCCTTCATCGAGGAGGCCGACCGTCTGCGCGTTATCCACAAGCGCGAGCACCCCGATTACAAGTATCAGCCCCGACGTCGGAAGCAGAACGGACCGTCTTCCGGCCGCGAGAGTTCGCCCACGAGGAGCCAGAGCAACGTGACGTTCAGCGTTACCAGGTCGTTGAAGCAGGAGGACATGAGTCCCAGAGGCGTTCAAGGACCCAATTCGCCGCAGAGTGGCGTGAGCTCTTCGCCACCCACGACACCCGGTCACGGCCTTTCACCGCCAACACCCCCTACGACGCCCAGGGGACAACACTACATCAATCAGGTACTCGACGCGTCTCTTGCGATCGCTTTTCTGGCCCGACAGCTCCCGATTTTATGGGAGCGAAGTGACTTAGACAATTATATTACTTGTAATTGTCTACCATTTTAAGATTATCATTCACAAAATCGTTACAAAATTAACAGTGATTACAATAGTAATAGCAATAATAATAATTTAAGTACTAAGTTGTTTGCCATTTAATTTTCACTTGTATTCAATCGAGAAAAGCCTTTGCGGTCTAAATAATTCTTTGCAACTGATGAAATATGTATCTCGTTCGCAATCTAATTGTTTTACATCTAATCGGCTATTATGGATCAAAGAATTTTTATTACTTTCATTACTGGTGGAATTTATGAAGATATTAGAAATATAATTTATCGATTATAATCAAGCACAGATTCGAGCACTTGAAGAAGATTATGCGACAGACTTAAGACGAGTCTAATTCGACCGTAAAGAGCTAATGCTTCGACTCCCCTCTCGCAAATACAATTATTCAAAGCTATTTCGCGCGCGCACGAAAGACTTGCTACCCATCTAATCATCCTAATCGTTGACGTCCCGCGAAATGAAGACGCTTGATCTGCAGAGCAACCAGCTTCCGCAGAACAACACGGTGTACTACCAGGAGTTGGTTGGCGGCACGCCGTCGAGCGAGTCCCCGCATCAGCAACCGGCGGTCGATCTTCGTTACATCGAGGTCGGAGATGGCCTCCCCGGCGAGGAGAACCAGTTGAACGGCCTCGGCACTTTGGGCGGGCTCGGCCTGAATCTCCCGGTGAACTTCCAGGAGTGCGAGGTCGAGAGCAACGAGCTCGACCAATACTTACCGCCCCAGACCGCGCCGATACATCAGTACCCACCCGTGCAAGTCACCACCGCCTCGCAATGGTTACTCAACAGGTACAGAGACCGCCGTAGTTGCGCTTTTTCGCAATGACTTCAAATCAGAGAGCGCGCCCTAAAAAGAACGTAAAATACTGACGGCACCGTGAAAATGTCCACCGTCGCGTTTAAAATAGAAAAGATCACCCGACGTAATGTCCAAAGATATTCTTATCTTTTTTCATCGTCACATGATTACTATTTTTATTTTAATTTTATACGTTTCGTTTTCTGAGAGCATTCAATTATACTCGACATTAAATGTAAATGTCGTTCATTAATTATGGACAAAAGTTTTAAGAGGCGTAAAATGAGAATCGGTGAATTTTGCCCGAAATTCTGCCGTTCTTTCTTTTTTCTCTCTCTCTCTCTCTCTCTCTCTACACGATTTACGGGACGCCGGGACACTTCACTTCACTTCCAGATATGAGGAGGAGATCGAGAGACCGATCAAGCGCCACTGCTCGGAGCAGGCGATCGCGGAGGTGTCATGGGAGGACAGGACACAGGAGATGGTCAGGTACCACGAGCTCCAGCCTCCCCTTCCGCCGGTCCAGTACATATCCGCCCATAACGCGCACCATTCGCACGCGAGTACGCAGATGGGCCATCCGCACGTGTCCACGCCCTACGCGCAATACGCACATCGCTACGTGCCCGGCATCGAGACGTGGCCGAATTACATGTAGACCAAAGCGAGGTAAACGTGCCCAACACTCTTCGTTTCGCGGTGCCGAGAGACACGCCTCGGTATCGTGGAATCGTCCGAAAAATTTTTTTATGTACCTATGCGTAAGCGAGCAAAAAAAAAAGAAGATTCACGTGGACCATCCCGGATCTCCCGCGAAATATTTGAAGGATAGATTTTCGGAGCCTGACTTTTTGAGTCGCCTCGGCCGACGTGCCGGGAATGATACGTCATCGTCTAGACTTGTACATTTTCACTGCTAAATCTACCTCGACGGTCAAGGTCGTACAATAATTGAAATTGTCTTCAACATTGTTTGAGAATCGGTGACTTGTTACTCGCAATTTTTTCGATTTACTCACGTAAACGTATTTTCAATGGTACCCTCATATTTCTTAGGAAATTATCGCTGAAGTTAAGTCGGTGCCGAGTTCCTTGAGGAATTTATCTACGAAGTATTTTTCGATAGATCCGGGATACCTTGTAGATAACGACGCTGATAAAGTTATGTACGAGACGTATCGCGTAAAGTAAAGGAAGTAAAAGACTATTTTACCACGTTGGCCCAAATCGTCGCAAATGCTTGTATAAATGAAAATTATTGTATAAATGAATTGTGATCGGAACAATTGCCGCGGCGTTAAATCCCCGCGGCTTACAGAGCCCCAGGGATAGCCAAATATAACGTAATTAACGATTAATTACAGAGATCCACCCTATTAATAGTTACACGTGCGAGTTTTTCTCGCGAAATGTATGCTGGATACGCGGCTAAACGCGAGCTTCGTGTGATAAAGTTTTTAATTAGCGTAACAGAGATATTTCGGATATCCAATCGATTTAAAATTGGCGTCTCTCCCTTAGAAAAGGATGTCGCCGATGTCGTCTCCGACATTCGCACTGCGAATTTGTGAGGAAAGGAAAGCCTCGAAGTCAAACGTTGAGACTTTCAAGTCATTCTTCTGAAAAGTTGGTCGAAATTGAACTCTTATCGTTCTAATATCATGCAATTTTGGTATCGCGACAATTACGTGTAAACGTCCACCTTGAATAAGCCAATGAGCTAATTGCATCAAACGGCATGTTTCGAAAAGTTTAAAGAGATAATAGAACTTACATAAATATCTTGACTATTACATGGAATTCGATGCGTCTTTGTCTTTCCAACTTCGATATAAGAAACGCGAAGGGAAGATATGCACAGAGCGCGAAACGCCGATTGTGCGAAAATTTATTATAGACGTATCTATTAGAGACAATCAAGCCAGAGTATCTGACGGTGTCAAGTCGTTTGAGATTCGGTTCTCCTGGGCTTTTGAAATCCTATTTAAGAATTTTATCCTTCATTTTTTCTTTCTTCGATCCGACGTTTAAGTTTTGAGATTTTTTATTTCTACGTACGTCCCTCCGTTACAGCGTTACGAACGATTTATTACACCGCTGCGTTTAACTTACACCGAATTAAACTTTCACATCTTCAGAAGAGATCGGATTTCCTACTTCAAGTTAGAGTCGACGACGTCAATAAAATATTCCACTTCGTGTGATTCGCTGATATGAGAATTTTTTCTTAAAATTTTCTCTGAAAATCATGTAATCGTGGGACAACATGGCATTTCGAGGAATTGTATAAGAATTTTTAAAAAATTTACTATACTATACATTTTACTAGTAAAGTGTACGGTAAAATTTCAAAAAGCTCTCATAAAATTCTTCGAAATGCCATGTTGTCCCGCGATTACGTGATTTTCAGGTAAATTCAAAAGAAAATGCTCTCCGTGTAATCGTTGTTAACGGTATAGTCTCTGTTAACGACAATAGTTTGTTAACAACCATCGCTTGCAATCGGAGAAACGGTCGCGCGCTACGTGCCTCTTGCTCGACGCGAAAATGGCGGATCGGCCCGTTCTCCAGCTTGAGAGTTTCTACCACGAGGCGCGGCCACGATACTCACCATGACATCATTCCATGACAGCCGGCCATTCCAAAGCGCAGAATTTCAGGCCAAACAAACAGGCGGCCGCTCGATATATACGGTGCCCAACGGCGCAAGCGTTCCAAATGTAATAATATATATATATATATGTATATTCGCGATATACTATATATACATAGAAGTAAACGAGCCGCGCGCGCGCGAACGGTATAAACCGGCGATCGGCCGGTCGGCTCGCCGCACGCTCGCGCACGTCCCGTTCAAATAAACGGCTGAAATACGATCAAGGGTGGCAACAAATGTGCACTTGGCGCTTTTCGTTTAACGGACCGGGGTATTTCGGGACCCGGAATTCGCGCGGTCGAGACACGGCGACGTTCGTCTCGACTGTCGCGGCTGTGAAAGACTTGGGCGATTGACTGTAGCCAATTCTCCGACAACTAAATTTTAATCGAGCTTTCCTTGTGAATCAGAGAAACGGTTGTTTTCAGTAATTCAATCGCGATGAGATCTAATCTAGTATCTCCGACTTGAGCGTGGCCGTAAACGACCGGATGTATCGAGGACCGACTTGGCCTGATGTCGCGCGGCTATTGTAAATGGGCTTACAGCTCCATATTAAAACACGTAGATCACATATACTATACGTTATTAACACTAACTAGTTTCTACGCTGACACAGCCGTGCTTTTGTACTTAGATATTTATTCACCGCATTTTTACGAGGATCGATAGAAAGCGTAGGTTAACGTCTCGGCGTAGTTGTGCACACCGAAGAGCGAGCACTAAACCGTAATTTATAAGTGCGATGTACGCTAATTTGTAGAAATAAAGCAAGTGAGACTAAAATCTGTCGCATTTAATTCCCCCCTCGCTCCTAACTTCCTAGATATCGCTTTCACACATTTTTACAGATACGTTGTACCCTATTGTACATTCATAACTATTATTTTTATATTTTCATATACATTCATATTTATTATTTTATACGTAAAAATATTGGCGCTGTCTCACTTCGTCATACGTTTCATTTTTCATTATAATGCACTCTGAGTTATGACGAACGTAAATTCATGGATTTAGAATATCCTTTTGACCCGCGCAACTTCATCAGCCAATCTGAATGTAATTTCTCAGTTGCGAGGGATTTATATTCTTTATAAAGATAACAATTTCCTCCCTAAACGGCTGGACAAATGCAGCCAAATTCGCAGGGCCGTGCGACCGAGGCCCAACGTGGAGCCTTATCTCTCCCGCCTCCTCGAATGATATTTGCAACGATACACGCGTAGCGAAATGAAATAGTACCGCGCACTAGGTCACACGCGGTAACAACGCGCCTCAAATATTTGTCGAGCCCTTTACTTTCCCCCTTTTAATGGCCCGAAAACCGCGAACGGGCCATTCTCTCGGTCGAGCAAACAGGCGGCTTATCGAAATCCACTCGGCGAGGGACGTGGGAATGTCGCGACTTTATGCCACTTATCCGCGTCTAGGAGATTAAAAAGAGAGAAGATGCACGTAAACTTCTTACGGCTCGATAGAAATAATCGCTCAGTTAGGATACACGGACTTCGCACATTCGACATTTTCATAATCCGTGCATAAACCTACGATCGTAATTATTATTTATTCGTCAGAACAACAAGATGCCCGAGTTTCTCTCCGTATATACCTGCAAATTTTATATACTTGCCCTGTCACATATTTATATTATAATTTTAATTTCCCTGTTTTTCTACCGATTGCGAGTTATGCCAAGTTTAGGGCTAAATTTAGAGCGGAGGATACCGCGGTGGAAACAAGCCGGTAACTCGCGGCGATCGCTCACGATGGGTTTCGTCGGGTTAGATCAACTCGCTTGACTTTTTTCCTCCTCGTCATCTCTCGGCGAAAGAAGAGACCGATGAGCTTGACGAGAGTCAGCCCTTCCATCCCGCCGTATCATCGTACGGCCGTCTGATTTTTTTTCCCCCTCGCATCGTTGTCAGACATCGGGATTTCGATAAAGCACCGACGAGACCGGGCAACGCGGGACGGAACAAACGACGGAAACGGCACTCTCTTGACCCCATGGCACGACAGAATTCCGTGAACAGGACAAGTGGGATATATGGCGGAGAAACAATCGTGGTGCAAACGCGACAGTACCGTCCATTGAAAGTGCACGGGCAGCTGGGTGTCGGAAAGAGCCGCCATTTATACGCTTTATCTATTTTAATTTCGTCACGTATATATGTATATTCGATTTACTGGAAGGCGGTCGTTCTTTAACGTTCGAACGACTTCCGGGTGCTAGTTCCTGGAAATCGCTCGACGTCTATCTCGATACGAGCACATCCGCACTTCCTCCCTCTCTTTCTATGTATTTTTACAATAAACTTCAATAAAACGATACTGTTAGTAAGCTTGCTAACACGAGATGTCTGAGATCTATTAACGACAAGTTTTTTAACGAAGCGGTTTAAAACTACTACAACATTCGCGAATAATATTTTCTTTCAGGCTGACTTCGGTCAAATTCTGATTAACTTAATCGCCGATTAATGCAATAGCAGAGTCGCTTGAAGCGAAGTTTCGGACTATATACTGTGTCGCGAATCTTTCTTTCTATGTTCACAAACAAAAGAAAGCTAGAATTCTACTTATACATTGACTAGATACTACAAGTATTATTTGATTAATTAAGCACATTAAGTTAACCAAAATTAGCTCGAAATGCTGAACGTGGCTTTAGACTGAACACTCGAAAATCAGTACGCAATTCCATTCCACGAGACAAAAATCTTCAACACTAAATATCTTCTCGTTATCGCACAATATTGTACTGACTTGTGATAATTTGCATAAAAAATGCATTAACTGATTAAAACAAATAAATATATGATAAAGGTTCGATAATATAAAATAAGGTTTAAACGTTAACTGATTAAATCCCGAGTACTCCGTCTTCGCTCGAATAAAGGACATTTCTCCCCCGCGGGGACTACGCTCTCGGGCCGATCGAGTGCGATGACATTTCGTATACGGTAAATAAATATTTGAGCGAGTACGATAGTATATCGATAAAA